ATTTACAATAGCCTCAAAAAAAAAAAAATGGGAATCAATGAAAGAGGTGAAAGATCTATATAATGAAATTACAGAACCCTAAAGAAAGAAATAAAAGAAGATCTTAGACGATGGAAAGATCTACCTTGCTCTTGGATAGGCAGAATTAATATTAGCAAAATGACCATAATGGGCTGGGGTTGTGACTCAGCAGTAGAGCACTCACCTAGCATGTGCGAGGCCCCTCAGAACCACATAAAAATAAATAAAGATAAAGGTATTGTGTTCAACTACAACTAAAAACTAAATATTAAAAAAAAATGACCATACTTCCAAAAGTACAATACAGATTCAATGCAATTTTAATCAAAATCCCAATGACATTCCTCATAAAAATAGAAAAAGCAATCATGAAATTCATCTGGAAAAATAAGAGATCTAGAATAGCTTAAGAAATACAAATCCTTAGGAAGAAGAGTGGAGCAAGTGGCATCACTGTATGCAGAGCTTAAACTATATACTACAGAGCAATAGTAACAAAAACAGCATGGTATTGGCACCAAAACAGACTGGTAGACTAGTGGTACAGAATAGAGGACACAGAGACTAACCCACAAAATTACAATTATCTTATATTTGACAAAGATGCCAAAAACATACATTGGAGAAAAGATAGCCTCTTCAATCAATGGTGCTGGGAAAACTGGAAATCCATATGCAACAAAATGAAATTAAACCCCCTATTTCTCACTATGTACAAAACTCAACTCAAAATGGATCAAGGACTTAGGAATAAAACCAGAGACCCTGCATCTAATAGAAGAAAAAGTAGGCCCTAATCTCCATCATGTGGGATTAGGCCCCAATGTCCTTAATAAGACTCCTTTGGCGTAAGAATTAAAACCAAGAATCAATAAATGGGATGGATTCAAACTAAAAAGTTTCTTCTTAGCAAAAGAAACAATCTGTGAGGTGAATAGAGAGTCTACATCTTGGGAGAAAACTTTTACTCCTCAACATCAGATACAGCACTAATCTCTATGGTATATAAAGAACTCAAAAAGTTAAACACCAAAAAAAAAAAAACAACCCAATCAATAAATGGGCCGAGGACATGAACAGATACTCCTCAAATAATGATATATAATCAATCAACAAATATATGAAAAAATGTTCATCACTGCTAGCAATCAGAGAAATACAAATCAAAACCACTCTTAAGATTTCACCTCACTCCAGTCATAATGGCAGCTATTATAAAGACAAACAACAATAAGCTTTGGCAAGGATGTGGGGAAAAAGGTACACTCATACACTGCTGGTGGGACTGCAAACTGGTGCAGCCAATATGGAAAGCAGTATGGAGATTTCTTAAAAAATTGGGAATGGAACCACCATATGACCCAGCTATCCCACTCCTTGGTGTATACCCAAAGGACTTAAAAACAGCATACCATAGGGACACTGTCACATCAATGTTTATAGCAGCACAATTCACAATAGCTAAACTGTGGAACCTAGATGCCCTTCAGTAGATAAAAGGATTTTAAAAAAGTGGCACATACACACAATAGAATATTGCTCAGCAATAAAAGAGCAAAAAATCATGGCATTTGCAGGTAAATGGATGGAGTTAGAGAAGATAATAATAAGTAAAGTTAGCCAATCCCAAATAACTAAATGCCAAATGTTTTCTTTGATATGAAGCTGATTCATAGTGGGATAAGAAGAAGGAGCATGGGAGGAAAAGGTGAACTCTAGATAGGGCAGAGGGATTAGAGGTAAATGGAGTGGGCATGGGGTTAGAAATGATGGTGGAACATGATGATCATTATTATCCAAAGTACACATATGAAGACATGAATTGGTGTGAATATACTTTGTATACAACCACAGGTATGAAAAATTGTGCTCTATATGTGTAATAAGAATTGTAATGCATTCCACTGTCATATATCAATAATAAAAAAATTATAGAAAAAAAGCTTAAAATATCAGGATCTCTGGGATGAAACAGTACTCAGATAAACATTTATAACTTAACGTACTTGTATCATAAAGAAGCTAGAATAGGGCTGGGGTTGTGGCTCAGCAGTAGAGTGCTCCCCTAGCACATGCGAGGCCCTGGGTTTGACCCTGAGCACCACATAAAAATAAATAAATAAAATAAAGGTATTGTGTCCAACTACAACTGAAAAAAAAATTTTTTTAAAGAAGCTAGAATAACAATCAAATTATTTTCAAATAAAGTAGTAGTAAGGAAAAAGTAAGAGTAGGAAAAGAAATATATATATAATAGAAAAGAGATAATACAGCTAAAATTTAATAAAATCAAAGAAGTCTAATCAAAAAAAAAAAAAAAAGTAAGAACACAAATGGAAATGGAAAGGAAGCTATCAAAATAACCCTAAAGATGCTAAAAATATATTAAGGTAATATTACAATTATATGCCAACATGTGAGAGCTTATATAATATAGTCTGTATTAGAGAAAGATAAGTGTGTTGCTAAGAAGAAAGTGTATTCAGTCATTGATAGATGAAACATTCTACATGTCTGTTAAGTCTAAATTATTGATTGTATTATTTCATTCTAACGTTTCTTCATTTAGGTTTTTTGGTTTTTTTGTTTTGTTTTGTTTTTTTGTGGTGCTGGGGACTGAACCCAGGGCCTTGTGTTCATGAGGCAAGCACTCTACCAACTGAGCTATATCCCTAACTCTCTGTTTAGTTTTTGTCTCGAGGATCCATTCAGCAGTGAGAGAGGTGTGTTAAAGTAAAGTCACCCAGTATTATTGTTGGGTCTATTTGATTCTTGAAGTTGAGGAGGGTTTGTCTGATGTATGTAGATGTTCCATTGCTTGGGGAATAGATATTTATGATTGTTATGTCATGTTGATGTATAATTCTCTTAAGCAATATGCAATGTTGTTCTGAGGCTTCTTTTTTTTTTTTTTTTGGTAGGGCTGAGGATTGAACCCAGAGCTTTAAGCATGCCAGGTAAGCACACTATATCCCCAGCCCTATTATTAAAAGGACAAGTTCTTCTCTCCCCTCTTCTCCCCTTCTCTAACAAGATTAAGGAGATAGTGTTATCTTTTCTTCCCCAACATACCCACCACAGGAAGGAGATATCTGCCAGAGGATCTAAGAAGTGAATTTCAACATACCTACAGGGCACACCTGGGATCATAGGATTTGAATAGCTTCTTTAAAAGCCTTGTTTTCCCTGATGGATAGAATCACAGCCTCAGGGACAGGAGTCCCCTGTGTTTCTCCTTTGCTAGCAAAGCAATAAAACTTTTTTCCTTTTTTACAAAACTGTGTCATCTATATTAAATTGACATTAATTAGCACTGGGGAAACAGGATAACCTTTTGGTTACAGGTTTAATCCCCAGAACCACAAAAAAAAAAAAAAAAAAAAAAGGAAAGAGAATTTATTTCCAACTTCAAAATTTTTGTTGCCATTTTCTTTTTTCCCAGTTCTTCCTACCTTTCAGATACATACATTAACAAAATTTTCCATCACCAATTTCTTTTGTGATGTTTCTGGAGAAAATAAAATTGCATGCATGGATTTTCTTACTTACCTTTGGATAAAGGTTACTGAACAGAAAGGTTGGTACACAAATGTAATCTACATTAGATTCACCCAGACTTTTTGTATCCATAAAAATTTGGTTATTTTGACATGACCTCTAACTGATCATATGTCAGAATAATCCACATTTTCTGGAGGAAAAAGCCTATCTAGAGAAGAAAGGAAATGGTTTCACTGATAGGCAATAAGATTTTTAGAAAATTATTTTAATACTTTATCTGACAATGAAGGTAGAAAATAGAAATCATTGTCAGGTGTGGTGGCACAAACCTGTAATCCAAGTAGCTCAGAGGCTGAGTCAGGAGGATTAGAAGTTTAAAAGCCAGCCGCAACAATTTACCAAGGCCCTAAGCAATTTAGTAAGACCCTGTCTCAAAATAAATCAATTAATAAAGGGCTGGGGATGTGGCTCAGTGGCTAAGCACTCCTGGGTTCAATCCCTGGTACAAAAAAAAAAAAAAAAATTTGCTGAAGAATGAACTTACTCATTTAACATAGGTTAACTGAGAACACAGAACCATGCAAGACTGCATAAAAAACAGAGCTGTAAACTAAATTAATAGCTATTTCACTTGGCCATTAAGTTTTAGAGCAACTGTTGTTACACAGCAATACACTAGTACAACTAATTATGTTCTTTTTTGGGGAGTGGGTGGGTACCAGGGATTGAATTTAGGGGCACTCGATCATTGAGTCATATCCGCAGCCCTATTTTGTATTTTTTTAAGAGACAGGGTCTGACTGAGTTGCTTAGCACCTCGCTAAATTGCTGAGGCTGGCTTAGAACTCTTGATCCTCCTGCCTCAGCCTCCCAAGCCACTGGGATTACAGACATGTGCCACTATGCCCAACCCCTAATTTTGTTCTTTTTGCTATGATGACAGATATGAAATAAAAACTGGGATATATCACATTTTTAGTGAAATACTAAAAATTTAATAGATTACTAAAAATAAATTTACAGTACTATTTTAATTTTTGATGCATGTTCATATGACATCATACCTAATAATATTTTTTCTTCATTTTGGTCAGAATTTAACAAAACTGCATGGATAGTAGGTACTCAACTACCTATTAAAGTATTTACAAGTTAGTGGAACCTATGTGTTATATCCTAAAAGTAAAGTCATACTCATTTTTCAAAGTTAAAGCACTAGGTACTTACTGAAGATTTGTTATGATATATTATAATTGATAGATTTTAAGTTAAAGAGATTAAAGATTGAACATTACTGTTACGAGTTTCAGTTTTTATAATCTTAGCATTATTATGGCTATGTGGATACAGAACAGAGCCACAACTTCCAGGAACTATTCCTTCTAAATACTCATATTGAGTACATTGAAATTTATGTACCAATACTTTACCACCTTTCATATAATTGTTTAAAGTATAGAAGAAAATAGAAAAAGTACCTTTGATCTTACTCCGTAGATATTTTAGAACTTCTTGAGTTCCTTTCTGAAAGGGCAGAGAAAAAAAAACATGCATTCACCAAGAATACCTTGCAGTTTTACAGATCAACATATATACATTTACAATTCAATTGAAAGATAAAGAGCTGAATTTTAAATAGTTACATTTATAATTTCTCTCCGAATGGTTCTCAAAGGATTTCCTTCTAGTGCCAGGAATTTCAAATGTAGGTTTCCCAATGAACAGGGCAGACTACAAAAGATTAAATTGATTTCAGAGAAAATGTTAAATATAAATCTAGACCAACCAAATAGTTAACTATAAATTAACAGCATATGATAAACAATATAATATAATAGTCTCAAAAAAGGCCTACATAGGCCTAAAATTTTTTCCCTCAGATAAATGCTAAACATATAAAAGAAAAACCAGACATATCTTCAAAGTTGTCATGATAAAATTGCTAAAAAAGAATGTTAGATATAAAATATTTGCTAAATTATATCTAGTGCTAAAAAGAAAATGTTAAAAAAATATAAATTTTAATGACTCAGCAATTCAACCAGTCTCATTAATAATGTTTTAATTTTGTACTTCAAGGAAGCAAATAAAATTATTTCTAAATGAAAAAAATGACAAATAAAAACAACAAAATACATACCCAATTAGGTTTTCGTTCAATAAGAACAGTCATTTTTATCTTTGGCACATAAAAAAGATAACCCATTTATACACATATACACTCTCAATAAAATTTATTGTTTCTACAAAATACTACAAATTGGCAGGCATAGTGTCAAACTTCTTGCTCTGAAGTTCTCAATTGAACAAAGGAAAAAAACACATATAAAAGTGCACAAAATATAACAAATAATACATATGTTATATTGCTGGTGAGAATACACGTAATACAACTACTTTAAAAATGGTGTCTTTTAAAATTGAAGATATATCCACCATACAAGTAAGCAATTCTACTCCCTACATTTACCAAGCCCCCCAAATAAAAATAATAATGTCCATAGAAAATCTTACACACGAATGTTCACAATAGCAAAAAAATTGAAGAACACCCAAATGTTCATCAACTAACTAGTAGAGATGACTAAATTGTGATATATCTACATAAGAGAATATTCAGCAAAAATGAATGAACTTTATGAACACAACTACATGAGTGAATTACAAAAACTTTATGCTACCTGAAAGAAGCCAAACACAAAAACTGTATACTGCATAAAGCCATTTATATGATTTTCTACAAAAGGCAAAGAAAGTACATAGTAGTTACTAGTTAGCAATATGGAAACAGAATTGATGGCAAAAGGCGGAAAATTCTTGGGAAGACAGAAGTTTTCTAACATGACTGTGACAATGTTTACACAACTGTACACATTTGCCAAAAGTCATCAAAGTATATGCTTTTATTATATGTAAGTCACACATCAAAAAATAACATTATATAAAAATATATATAATAAGAAAAACCCTAAATAAGTAAAGCTGCTATGAAAATAGAAACAAGGATAAAGGAATAGAAGTGAGTAGCAACACCTGGATTTGGGCTTAAAATGAATGGGATTCCCTTAGGCATTAAGGCAGGAAAAGGGCATTTTAGGATAAAGAAACAAAAGGAAGGGGTGGTGTATTTATAGTTTGATGTAGTCAGAAAGCAGGATACCTAGAACAGCGAAAGAAAGAAGCAACCAAAAGTCGTTTCAGCTTCAGACACCCTTGATTGTTTTACCAGAAATTTTGGACTTTATCTTTCAATTACTGGTTTGAAGACAAGATGTACCAAAATCTCCCCAGAAATTATTTTTTAAACAAAATAAAACAAAACAAACTATAAGATGTCATTGTAAGAGATTCTAATTCATTGGTACCTCAAAATCTGTATTATTTTTCCCCTTATTTAATGCCTTTTAAATGATTCTAATACTCAGCCGTATTTGAGAAAACAGTGCTATGGCAATGGAAAACTATCAAAGCTTCTCAAGTAGATGAATGATTAGATATTTTTATTTTATAGAAACTATTCTTGTAACAGTGTTAGGAACCAGTATTTTAGTTAGAAGAAAATTTGAAGGGGTGGAAAATGACAAGAATTATTAGTATCTCAGAACTATATGCTTTGAGGGAAGGAAAAAAACTCCTAAAAATATACTAAAATATGATTATGTTGTAGGCCCTTTATCTCCAGAGCTCTGGAGAAAGAGGAAAATATATGTGAATATATTTTCTGATATCAGAAAAATTGAAATACATTTTCTGACATTAAAAATATTTGTACCAACCATTTAGTTTTTGTTAAACATCTGCTTCCTACTGCTCTTATGCAGTAGACTAAATAAAACCACCAAGGAGAAAATTTTACATGTTAATATTTGTAAGAAGCAATAGATTATTTTATTCATTACTGGAAAGATAAACACTTTTATAGATATTCAGGTCACTGCTTAATTCTATCATATATGTATGAAAAGGTGATCATTATCCAAGTATTGAAATCAATGGTCTAAATATGCCGTAAGTACATTGTGGAAACAAATGTTACTTTGAAAAATATTTATTAAAATATACACATAAAAGAAAATCTGCCTTGCCTAATTTTTTCTTCTTTTGTGAATAGTACTCCATATTTCTGGCATTCAAACTTAAAACCTCAGACATCCAGTTGATATATGATCTGAGTCTGTATATATAAAATAATTCCATTTCTAAATATGATGTTTTATGACATTTTATGATTCTTTGCTCACTGCTCTGCTTCTCTCCATGTCCAACATAATCAGTCAGCTGCTAAATACAATTTATTCTAATTCACCACACATATGCCTTTTTCTTTTCATTCCCATTGCTTTCAAAATTTAGTTCCTCATTACATAAATCTATACAACTGTCAATACAAGCCATTGACTAAAATGTGTTCCTTAGTGATAACTACTAAACTAACAGCTTTTAGATTTCCTACCTATAAAACCACTCCTATTCAACGTATTATTGTTCTTGTTTTAATATTACACTCAAATTAGCCTTGTACATAGTCTTTCTATAGCACTTAAAATGAAAACTGTTTCTTCAAGGGTCTCTTCCATGTGGCTCAACTTAGTTTTCAAGCTCAAAATTTTTACAAGCTCCCTCTGTGCACCTTATTTAGAATTCCCAAAGTTTTGTTTGTGCTGTTTCCTCCTGCCAAATGTATCATCCTCACTACCTTACACATGAACCTGAAACTTCTATTGTATAAAGATCCAGTATAACTAAGATGAGGTGTAATTCTGAAAGTGAGTATGTTCTTACATTTTGTGTTCTAGGCAATTAACTTACTTTACCCTAATCCCAGTCTTGAAGAACATCTGAAAAAGTTACTGCTATGAAGTGTGCCCTGATTCCTCTTAGTGAACTGTAAATCCTTTAAGCCCCCAAAGTGCTTTATATTCCTCTAATGGCTTTACATTCATTTAACAGATCCAAGAAACATTTATAAAGCACCTTCTATATGCCAAAGGCACTGATCTAAGAGTTGGACATAGTACAGTGAAAAAACACATAAAACTCCAGCCTGCTGGGAGCTGTGTTGGCCAAATAATATTGCTATATTGTGTGCTTGTATGAATACATAACAAGTCCCGCCATTATGTACAACAAAAAAATGTGGACCAAAAATCCAGTTTCCTTAGATTTTAGTTCTAGTGAATTACAGTAACTTGTTTCTACTTCTATAAACATATCAAGCCAGCTGCCAAGGACGAAATCTAGTTAATCTTTCTTTGTAGATAATATCTGCTCAATAAATATTTAGTGAATTCAAGATCTACAAAAGGATCTCATGTATTGTTTTACAAATATTTTAATTAATAAATTATGACTAAATACAAATATAACTTCTATTAATTTGATCTATTAACTTACCTACTAATGTCATTGTTGCTTAAGTCAAGCCTTTCCAAAGACTGTAGTACTGTAATTTCATCTGGAACAGATTTTAACTTGTTATCCCTCAGGTCTAGCACGAGAATGGAATTCAGATGCTTAAGATGTTCTGCTCCTAACATTTCAATTTGGTTTTCACCTACATGCAATTCCTAAAAAAACAAAGATCAGCCATACGTATTTCTTATTCAATTTTATATTAGATAACTAAAATAAAATTGTGGGTACTCTTAACTTCAAATCATGGAAATATACATTAGAAAAAATACAACTTTCTTATTACTAAGGTACATTTTTAATTACATTTAAGCTATTTTACATATAAAGAAAAAAGGCAAAGAAGAATATCTTCAAAAATGTTCTGGCAATAGAAAAATAATTAAAGATGAATCTTGCAGAAACATCAAGTTTACAAAACCAAAGTAGAGAAATGATTTACTAGCTACATTTATAATATTAATAAAAGCATAAGTCTAAAAAGTACAATGATGAAAAATTAGTTTCAAAACAAATCAGTACCAATCAAAAAATTTATATTTTAGTGAGTTCATGTAATGTTACCATTAATGATAATTATACACATTGGTATCCCATTAACAGAATTTATATTATCAGTTGGAAAATTAGCTAATTTAATTAAATGAAAACTTTTCCATTACCATTTTTTTAGATCACTGTTATCTTTCTATTTAGAAACTCTTTTAACACTAAAAGTAGATATAAAGAAAAGTAAAGCATGACAAATTTTAAACATAATTATAATGCTATATTCTTTCTTTTTTTTTTTTTTGGTACTGGAGATTGAACTCAGGAGCACTCAACCACTGAGCCGCACCCCCAGTCTTAGTTTGCATTCTATTTAGAGACAGGGTCCTCACTGAGTTGCTCAGAGTCTCACTTCTGCTGAGCCTGGCTTTGAACTTGCAATCTTCCTGCTGAGCTGCCGGATTACAGGCATATGCCACTGTGCCTGGCTATAATGCTATATTCTTTTTTTTTCAATTGTAGATGGACACAATATATTTTTATATTTATTTTTATGTGGTGCTGAGGATCGAACCCTTGCTTCATGCGTGCAAGGCAAGTGCTCTACCACTGAGCCACAACCCCAGCCCAATGCATTATTCTTTTTTTTTTTTTGTGGTGCTGGGAATTGGAATCAGGGCCTTGTGCATGTGAGGCTAGCACTCTACCAACTGAGCTATATGTATCCCCAGCCCTCTAATGCTATACTTTTTTTTTAATATTTAATTTTTAGTTGTGGTTGGACACAATACCTTTATTTATTTATTTATTTTTATGTGGTGCTGAGGATTAACCAGGGCCTTGCACATACTAGGCAAGCACTCTACCACTGAGCCACAACCCCAGCCCTCAGTGTTATATTCTTAAAGCCAAAATAAAGTAATTTTAAACAGATCACATAAATGTGAGAGAAGCCAACTTATAGCATTAAGTAAATATTTCTTACTAGTATTTCAGGTCTCCCATAGGATAGTCCCAACATACCATGTTACCCTCATTATATAGTATTTCTCCAGTTATGAACTACTAATCAGGTGAAAGGACCAAATACCTATTTTTAAAAATTATTTCTTTTTAAAAATCTGTTACTAACAATATCATTAAAGTCAGTAGTCACATTAAAATTCTAAAAAATACACACACACACACACACACACACACACACACTACTTATAACACACATGACCAAAAGATTAGGTCCTTTAAAAAAAATTCATTTTCATAAGCAACTTTTAGAAAATATAACGTTACTTAGTAATATACTAAATAGTACCTTCAATAGTCTACATGAAGGAAATTCTGGTAGAAAACGCAATTTATTCCTCCGCAAATAAAGCAATTCTAGCGATTCCATGCCAGCCAATTCAGGAGGTATAGTTTCCAAGAGATTTGAATTACAATCCAAATGCTTTAATCCTGCAATATATATTCAGTGAAAATAAAATGTACTTTAAAAAGAAAAAAAATTGGTGTATGATTATATAGAATTTCAAAGAATGAGTAATAAATCTCTGCAAGTACTTATGAACATATGCTAATGTATACTGGGGCAATAATCAAGAATACTCAAATATTCTTGAACTAAATAAATGTAAACTAAGTTTCTCTTTACATTTAATTAAAATTAAGACCTAATGATGTTAAAATTAGTATCTTTGTAATGCAGTTAAAAAACAAAGTTCTCTAGTACTCTATTGATTTAAAATATATAAATCATATACAATTATTATTGCATATATTATGTACCCTTAAAAAGAAAAGGCTATAATTAAAGACATTTAACATATATGCACATTGACTGAATGAATGGACATCAAGTAACTCTGGCTAATAGTGTCTTAGAGTTACTGGGATTTTAGGTAAGTAAATTTTCTGCTAAAAAGACTTGGATTTTTATGTACTCCCTTCCATTCTTCCATTCATCCATACTGCTTGCTACTCCTTCCCACTCCCATCTTCTTTTCTATTTTTTTTTTTAAATTATATGCTTCTCCTAACACCTCTGCTAACATTCTTGACAAGAGTATTTACTACAGTTCAAAAGAATATCTTTTTTAAAAAAATATTTTTCTTTAGTTGTACATGGACACAATTACTTTATTTTACTTATTTATTTTTATCTGCTGAAGATGGAACCCAGTGCCATACACATGCTAGGGGAGCACTCTACCACTGAGTCACAACCACAGTCCATCAAAAGAATATCTTTACTTGCAGGATCTCCCTTTCAGCTCCTGGATCCTCCTTTCTTAAAGGCAATCAGAAAAACAAAATTGAAAAAGAAGTAAAGGTTTTCTTAAGATTCAATAGGCATGGGCTGGAGTTGTAGCTCACTGGTAGAGCATTTGCTAGCATGCATGAGGCACTGGATTAAATCCTCAGTACCACATAAAAAACGAATAAATAAAAGATATTGTGTTCATCTATAACTAAAAAAATTTAAAAAAAAGAAAAGATTCAATAGGCTTACTCCATATTAGATTCTTCCACTTACCAGGGCCAACATCTATTCTCCTACCTCTCTAACAGACTGATTATGCAGTATGCATTCACAACTTATTTTCCTGCAGTTTGAGCCTGTTGATTTTTAAATAATTCAAGGCTATATCGATATGTTGCCTTAGATTGCATATTTTCAAGTATATGAAGATGCTAACTGGTTTCAAAGCAAATGAAACAGTACTACTTTCAACTAATAAAATTTATATATTATTTTACTAGAATAGTGAGAAAAGAATGTTGCTGTCTGATCCACTCAAATACAATAAATTTTTAAAGTAAAAAATTTGTTTTAAAGAATAATTTTTAGAAATGTTTGCATCTAGGAGCACTAATTGAAAAAATACAAGCAGTAGGGATAAAGCAAGAGGATTTCAGACCTGCTTCTAAAATTTACAACATAATTTCTTCATCAAGGTTTATCAATCTTTAAACTGTAAAAAAAAAAAAAAAAAAAAAATTACCTGATTTAACTTACAGAACTGTAAACTAAATGATGTGATGTCAAAATAATTTGAACAAAAGCATTGTAAAATTTCATGACACCATACATATGAAGAAATTATTCTTAGAATCCATTTATTTATAGTTAAATAACAATTAAATGTCCTAAAACTATACAGGGTATATATTTATATAACTATATAGCTATATTAACTAACTATATATTTATATCTAGTTATAACTACATATTATTTATGTCATTATATATATATATAGTTATAACTATAAACTGCATAAAGACTATAACTATAGTTAAAACTATATGAAGAGATAGCATAGCTGAACAAATGAAGAGATAGCATAGCTGAAAACCTTAATCAATTTCTCAATTACTTTTTAATATGCCTAAATATCTTTTGATGTTAATTCTTTAGAAATTTGTCAGATAATAATGGTCTGGAGAAAATGTGACTAAGTATTGCTTGCATTTACTATCATAAAATTATTATTTACTTCTCTATAATTATGTTACAAATTATTTTTCCAAAGGCAAGTTACATCAACTTCAAACTTATGTAGTTTTTTAAATATTTAAAAAATGATTTACTTTTCATTTTGCTTATTTCCGCTGGCAAACTCTTCAGTTGGTTACTGGAAAGATTGAGTCGTATCAGACTAGACAGAGAAGAAAAACTAACAGGAACAGTTGAAAGACGATTGCTTGAAAGATCCTTTAAAAAGAAAGAATGAATGAATAAGTGAGGTAACAGGAAAGTACATAAATAGCCCTAAATGGAGTTTCAGAAACTGGGGGAAATGCAAGAAAAAAGACTACTTTAGAGGTGACTGATTTTGTAAACTTAACACAATTTCCCAGATTATCATTCACTTCAATGTTTTCAAATATCTATAGACCCACAATGTATTCATCAAGATAGCAGATAGAAATTAGAATGAATTCTTTTTTCTTTCTTCTTTCCACATATTTTTATTGGTGCATTATAGTTGTACATAATTATGGAATTTGTTGTTATATATTTACACGTGCACAAAATAAAACAATGTAATTTGGTGAATATCAATCCCTAGCAGTTTTCCCTAGAATAAATTCTTACTTTAAAAATATTTAACATAGGAGATAGGAAGATGGCGGCGAGGGGAGTGCATTGCCCCCGTGTGCTGCGTCACTGTGTGGGAGTATGACGAGTCAGGACGGCTAAAGGCTATCTTGTTAGGAATTTCCAGCAATAGTGGGGTGCTCCGGAACCTGGAGGAAGGATTTCCATCGCACGAGGATCGGCTACGGGGACTCAAACGCGAGAGATTTGTCGCACGGAGGGTAACACTGCTTATTCAGCAAATTGCCCCGCAGCCAGAGTCTGCAGCGCACGCTGGGAAACGAGGAGGAGATAGTGGCGCAGGGATACAGCGCTGCAGTTTCTGCCAGCCGTGCAAGCACCGTACTCAGTGCTGAATTCTGGGTTCGAGATGGGGGAAGGAAGCAGTCCATTTCGGTTCTCCACACTGGTCAGACCACAGAGGAGGCCAGCGGCCACCATCTTGGAGAGCTGACATCACCATCCCTGTTTTCGACTGACCGCAGCTCTATCAGCCATAGAACAGGTAATTTCAGGCTGCCATTCGCCTGCGGCTTGCAGACAGATTACTCAGGCTCAGTGCCTGAGTGCTTCTTGGAGCCTGCTCTTAACAGAGCATACACCGAGCACGGAGCGGCCGAGTTCCAGCTCCTGGTACCGCCCTGGCCCAGGGCTAAGGAGCCCGCGGAAACTGCTTCTTGGAGCCTACTCTTATCAGAGCATACACCGAGCATGGAGCGGCCGAGTTCCGGCTCCCGGAACTGCCCTGGCCCAGGGCTAAAGAGCCCGCACCGAGCACGGAGCGGCCGAGTTCCGGCTCCCGGTACTGCTCTGGCCCAGGGCTAAGGAGCGCGCGGAAACTACTTCTTGGAGCCTGCTCTTATCAGAGCATACACTGAGCACGGAGCGGCTGAGTTCCGGCTCCCAGAACTGCTCTGGCCCAGGGCTAAGGAGCCTGCAGAAACTGCTTCTCGGTCTGGATCCTGCTGAGGGCCGGTCAGGACTCACCCGTTGCTTTGGTTACCCGGCAAAGGGAACGAAATGCTGCCATTCGCATAGGATACCAACATGGCAGAGATCTGATGTCATCAGAAAGCGGCGGAGGAGAGAACTTCATCAATACCAGTGGCGACAGAAACAGTTGGTCTCCTGGTAGGGAGGGTGAGGCACAGACACCTGAGTCTCTCTCGATTTGTCATCGAGCCAGAGGGGAGGAGCCGGGCCACCGCCCGCGCCCGGAGCAGGCCCAGCGGCTCGCTGGCGTGGTGATCGCATGACCACATTTGGAGAGGGGGCGGAGTGGGACCGCCACCCGCGCCCGCAAGGTGTGCAGACCCGCGACCCAGTGGTACACGGGCGTGGTAGGAGGGGCAGGGCAGAGCCGCAGCCCGCGCCTGCAAGGTAAGCAGACCTGTGACAGACCGGCGGGTCAGGCCCAGCGGCCTGCCAGCGTGGTACACACGTCACCCCAACTGGAGTAGGGACAGAGCAGAGCCTTCACCCGCACCCGGATCACGCCCCGCCGGTGTGGTGGTCACATGACCCCAATTGGAGTGGGGGCGGAGCGGAACCGCCACCCGTGCCCACAGGGTGAGCAGACCTGCGACCAACCTGCAGATCAGGCCCAGCGGTCCGCAGGCGTGGTAGGAGGGGCAGGGCAGAGCCGCCGCCCGCGCCTGCAAGGTAGGCAGACCTGCGACAGACCGGCGGATCAGGCCCAGGAGCCTGCCAGCGTGGTACACACGTCACCCCAATTGGAGTAGGGGCACAGCAGAGTCGCCGCCCGTGCCAGGAACAGGCCCAGCGACCTGCAGGAGTGGTAGTCACGACACCCCAATTGGAGTAGGGGCAGAGCAGAGCCGCCACCCGTGCCTGAAAGGTGGGCAGACCTGCGACCGACCAGCGGGACAGGCCCAGTGGTCTGCCGGCGCGACAGACACGTCACCGCATTTGGAGTAGGGGCAGAGCAGAGCCGCCACCCACGCCTGCAGGGTAGGCAGACCTGCAACCGACCGGCGGATCAGGCCCGGTGGCCTGCCGGCGTGGTACACTCATCACCCCAATTGGAGTAGGGGCAGAACAGAGTTGCCGCCCGCGCCCGGAACAGGCCCAATGACCTGCAGGCGTGGTAGACACGACACCCCAATTGGAGTAAGGAGGGAGCAGAGCCGCCGCCCGCGCCTGCAAGGTAGGCAGACCGCCGCCCAACCCTGCAAGGGAGACTTTTCAACTATACAAGAGCAATATAAATATATAGGGGGGAAAAAACATTTCAAAAACACAACAGTTTCACCAAGCAGAAAGAAACGCAAGCAGTATGAAAAGACAAGGAAAGAAAGGACCACAAGCAATGCAGGTCAACTCAACTTTAGAAGAGGTAACAGCTACAGCAGATGGAATGTCAGATAAAGAATTCAGGATATACATGCTTCAGATGATCTGGAGTATCAAGGAAGACATTAGACAGCAAAATCAGACAATGAAAGATCACTTCGACAATGAATTACACAAACAAATCCAGGAAGCAAAGGACTAACTATACAGGGAGATAGAGGTTATAAAAAACAAACAAACAGAAATCCTAGAAATGCAGGAAGCAATAAACCAACTTAAAAACTCAATGGAGAATACTACCAGCAGAGTAGAACACTTAGAAGATAGAACATCAGACAATGAAGACAAAGTATTTCAACTTGAAAAGAACATAGACAGCTCAGCAAGACTGTTAAGAAATCATGAGCAGAACATCCAAGAAATATAGGATAACATTAAGAGACCAAACTTAAGAGTCATTGGGATACAGGAAGGTACAGAGCTCCAAACCAAAGGAATGAGCAATCTATTCAATGAAATAATATGAGAAAACTTCCCAGACTTGAAGAATGACACAGAATCCCAAATCCTAGAAGCCTACAGGACGCCGAATGTGCAAAATCATAAGAGACCCACACCTAGACACATTATAATGAAGATGCCCAACATACAGAATAAGGAGAGAATTTTAAAAGCTACAAGAGAAAGGAAGCAGATTACATTTAGGGGTAAGCCAATCAGGATAACAGCTGATCTTTCAACACAGACTCTGAAAGCTAGAAGATCCTGGAATAACATATTTCAAACACTGAAAGAAAATGGGTTCCAACCAAGAATTGTGTATCCAGCGAAATTAAGCTTCAGGATGGAAGATGAAATTAAAACCTTCCACGATAAACAAAAGTTTAAAGAATTTGCAGCTAGAAAACCATCTCTTCAAAACATCCTCGCCAAAACATTACAGGAAGAGGAAATGGAAAATAACAATGAAAACCAACAGTGGGAGGTAGGACAGAAAAGGGGGGGGGGAATAATCAAAGAGGAAAACAAACCATGTTTAGTAACAGAAATAAACAAATATGGCTGGAAGAACAACCCATATCTCAATAATAACCCTAAATGTTAATGGCTTAAACTCACCAATTAAGAGACACAGGCTAGTAGAATGGATCACAAAACAAGACCCAACAATATGCTGCCTACAGGAGACGCATTTGATAGGAAAAGACATACATAGGCTGAAGGTGAAAGGTTGGGAAAAATCATATCACTCATATGGACTTCGGAAACAAGCAGGAGTGTTCATACTCATATCAAATAAAATAGATTTCAAGCCAAAGTTAATCAAAAGAGATAAAGAGGGACACTACATACTGCTTAAGGGAACCATACACCAACAAGACATAACAATCATAAATATATATGCCCCAAACAATGGTGCAGCTTTGTTCATCAAACAAACTCTTCTCAAGTTCAAGAGTCTAACAGACCACCATACAATAATCATGGGAAACTTCAACACACCTCTCTCGCCACTGGACAGATCTTCCAAACAAAAGTTAAATAAGGAAACTATAGAACTCAATAACACAATTAATAACCTAGACTTAATTGACATATATAGAATATACCACCCAACATCAAGCAGTTACACTTTTTTCTCAGCAGCACATGGATCCTTCTCAAAAATAGATCATATATTATGTCACAGGGCAACTCTTACACAATATAAAGGAGTAGAGACAATACCATGCATCTTATCTGATCATAATGGAATGAAACTGAAAATCAACGATAAAAGAAGGAAGGAAAAAGCATACATCACTTGGAGAATGAACAATAGGTTACTGAATGATCAATGGGTTATAGAAGACATCAAGGAGGAAATTAAAAAATTCTTAGAGATAAATGAAAACACAGACACAACATATCGGAATCTATGGGACACATTGAAAGCAGTTCTAAGAGGAAAATTCATTGCTTGGAGTTCATTCCTTAAAAAAAGAAAAAACCAACAAATAAATGATCTCATACTTCATCTCAAAATCCTAGAAAAAGAAGAGCAAAACAACAGCAAAAGAAGTAGAAGGCAAGAAATAATTAAAATCAGAGCTGAAATTAATGAAATCAAAACAAAAGAAACAATTGAAAAAATTGACAATACTAAAAGTTGGTTCTTTGAAAAAATAAACAAAATCGACAGACCCTTAGCCATGCTAGCGAAGAGAAGAAGAGAGAGAACTCAAATTACTAGCATACGGGATGAAAAAGGCAATATCACAACAGACACTTCAGAAATACAGAAGATAATCAAAAATTAT